AAAAAAAAGAAAAAGAAAATCCCCATGCCGCATCCATTCCTACCGGGATTTAGCTGGTCTGCAGGACTCCCAGAGAAGCGAGAAGGTGGACACCACGATGCTGCAGAGCGATGCAGCCCCGCCGCTCAGGTTGCCTGCAAACCCAACAGTGCCCGTCACGAGCCGCACCGCCTCCCCCCAAACCACACAGCAAGAAAAAACCAAAGCGTTTTCCTCAAGCAAGCTAACCGAATTAACACAAACACCAAGCCAGAGCCAAGGCAAGCTGTGTGTAAGATGGTGCAATTTTTTTCTTTTCTTTTTCTTTTTTTTTTTTAAATACTATCACTGCTGATTAGCCACGCCTGGCAGAAGGATGAAGGGAGGTGTATGCATCTCCCATCTATAAGAATAAGCCAAATGCATAGGAAAAAAAACCACCTTTGGCATGCTGTCTTACTCCAAACACCTATTGTTTTGTTAATGCAAAGTAGGTGTCGTGCAAACATGATTCTCAATTAATGGGAAAAAAGCTGGTGAACCTGTTGCCCACCAGCCAAAACACATTAATTTTCCCCCGTAACGCCTTCCCCTTCTTCGCTGATTTATGGCTGCGACGTTTTCCAGGTCAAGTTTTCCAATCCTTCTCAGGAGCTATACGCGATGTAGTGGGGCTGCACCCATTGGTGTCTACTTATATCCACCCCCAAAAAATCCTCCAGACGGGGGTTTCGCTGTGAAGGCAAAGACGATCCTCTCCTCCCCTCCTCGGCCCGGCACTTGGGAGCTGAATTCACGTCAGCGATTTGGACGCTGCCTTGAATGCCATGTCGCGGAAACCGCTGGCCGCTCATCCAAAAAAACCCAGAGGCAAATTCAGACAGAGCGAGGATATTTTAATTGCAGTTATTCCGCAAGTAATCTTAAATCCACGTTGATATCTTACAAAGAAGTCACAAAAATGTGCACAGCAGCATGAAAAAAAGAGAAAAATATATCTCTGCGCTTGCCATTGCAAATCTCTGCAGGCACCACCGAGTGCAGGATTTTACCACCTTCTCCCTCTTTTTTTTTTTTT